ATATAAAATATAAAAAGTAAAAAATATAAGAATTGCAGAAAACCAAAAAGTCACAAAAAAGCGCTCACAACACATACATAAATTAATTAAAAATCCAGCAACAATAATGAGTTCAATAACTTCAAACAACTTAATATTGCACAAACTGCAATAAGAAATAACAACTACAACAATAAAACATCCACAATTAAACAATAGTATATTACTTCAAACAACACGCAATAATTAAATGCGAGTTTAATAAACTAAAAAGCAATGTGGCAACTTTGTTTGCGCCACTGACTCATGTTAACTGTGAATTGATTTATTTTATTTATGCATATTTGCCACATGAATGGCTTAATGCCGCACCAACACATAGCAACCTGTCACTTTTGATTATATTTCAAACATATTAGACAACCAGCGGGGGGCTGTGATTGCATGGTGAACAGTTGGGGTTATAAAGGGCCGTAGTATGAAGGTTCAAGCTGTTACTTCGGTGCGATTTTCTCAGCGGCAACTCAAAAACACTGACAAGAGGTGATGACAGCGTGTGTGAAGTGAGAGGGGTTAAGAAATTTCGTTGACTTATTATGCAAATATATATAGAGGTGCGTAGTGCAAGGCACATAAATAAGACTTTAACTCTGTGGTTGAGCTGGGAAATATTATCAGTTAGTGGCCCACATTTTCAGAGTGGTGACTTTTTATAATTTTTAATATTTAATTATATATAACAACAAAATATAAAACAAAATAGTTATTTTATTTTCGCTTTATAAATATTCACGTGCACCAACTTTGCTACATTTTAACATTTTCATTTAAAAAAATATCGATATACAAAAATTTTTATCGATTACTTCATTCCGATAAAAAGTATTACACCCATTTGCTTTGTTTTCAGTTCCTTTCGCGTTTTTATTTTAAAAAACTATCAATAAAAAAATTTGTTATCGATTAATTAAATTCACATAACAGTTTTATGGCAACAATTGACTATGTTTTAGTCTAGTAGTTTAGTAAAGTAGAAGTACAAAGTGCAAAATGATTTGAATATTATTTAAGATATATATATATATCGATATGTTTTAAGAAATTTGTTATCGTGTATTTAAACTTAGCCAATACTGATACTATTACGTTTTAATTCAAAAAATGTCGATATAAAAACGTCCGATTCAAATTAATTACAAGCATTGACTCATTTCAGATATTTTTATTCCAAAAAATATCGATATATTTCTTGTCGATTACTTAAATTCACATAACAGTTTATTGTAATAATTGACTACTTTTAAGTCCATTCTGTAAAGTGAAAGATAAAGGTATAAAAATATTTCGATATTTTCTAATTAATCGATATATCGATATTCTTTAAGAAATCTATATACCGATACTTTTACACGATATAATTTTAAAAAAATATATTTATATTAAAAAATATATATTTGTATGTTTCTTACAATTCTTACAAAATTTCAAGTTATTTATACAAGTAAAGGATAATGACATAAAAATATATCGATATTTTTGTCTTAAATATAAAAATCGATATATCAATGTTTATACAATATACTAATTAAATAAAAATACCGATAAGTGTTTTATGTTCCTAAACATATATCTTCAGCTATAAATATTTGAGCGTTCTACTCTAGCATAATTCTTAACTGAAAGCATTTGAAAGATTACATTAGATTTTAACTACACTATGCAAGTATATTATATTTATACACTGAGCGGGGTATATCAATTTTGCTAGGAAGCTAGTAACACCCAGAAGCAAACTCTGAAAACTTTTTTTTTATATAAATCATCAGAGTAACGAGCTGAGTATAGTTATGTAGCCATATGCCTCAGCCTGCCGTCTAACTGTCTGTATATGCGCAAACTAATTAGTTAGTTTCTGAGATATTCGACTGAAATTTTGCACACGTCGTACACTATTCAAGAAGCTACTCATTTGCCAGAATTGCTGATATCGAACTACTATAGCATATAGCTGCCGTACAAACGGAACGATCTGAATCAAGTGATTGTATGGAAAACTCTTTCATTTTTCGAGATATCTCCATGAAATTTGCCACCGATTATTGTCCAAAGTAAAGGTATAATTTTTGAAGAAATTGTGTGATATCCGACTACTAGAACATACAGCTGCCATACAAAGTGTTTAATCAAAATCTGACTAATTTTTTTCATTGACCAGATATCTTGCCAGAATTTGGCACCAATCATTACCCAAAGCAGGGCTACAATCTACGAACAAATTATTGTTATCGAACTAATATAGCATAGAGCTGCCATACAAACTGACCAATCAAAATTAATTTAAAAATGTTCAGAAAATTCGACTTTAGGATTAGTTGTATCAAAAAACGGTGCTAGCAGGAACTAGCAAAATATATTATTATTATTTTATTTTATTTTATTTTTTTTTGATAAATTTTTTTTACAAATTTTAAAAATCTTAAATTTTTTTATTTTTTTTTTTTTTTATTGGTTGTTCATTTCTCATTCCTTCTAACTTAAAACGCTCACACCTTCAAAGCTTGGCAGTCTCTTTACACTATTTTCGAAAGATTTTTGATCTCCCATAAAATGTCGAACTTCAACAACGCCTCTGCCCTCAAATATTATATATTCATTGATCGTAAACAAGCACGCACCCAGCATATTTATAAGTACCACATATACACATACATATATACATTTTATATACGCATTGACGCCACCGCACATGATTAGCATTAGCAAATATTTTTCTTTTTCTCACTAACTTTTTTACTTATTTAAATGAATTTTTATTTCGAAATTACGAGTATGAATAAACACCTCCGCCGTGATTTTAGTGCAACATAATAATGATACAAGTACATATGTACAGATATGCATAGAGGCTTGAATGTGTAATCACGCTGCGCAAACGCAGGCGTTCAGGCAGTCATAGACGCGTGCGCCATGCACAAGAAGCGGAGAAAAACCAAAAAATTTTCAAAAAGTTTCACCGCACCTTTCGACGTGTATGCACAACGACGTGCGCACACTTTCCCAGCGCGACGCGCCGTTTTTGTATGCAACAGCGCAGGCAAAAAGTAAGATTTAACAGCAACAAAAATAATAGCACCACTGCAATGGCGTTTGTGCTGCTAGGAATGCATATAAGACTCCACATATGCACGAAACATGCCGCGCGGCAGCAACAACAATAACAACCGTGATAGCCACAGCATGACTGCAACTCGCTGCAACATAACTGGCCGCAACTTTCTACTAAATTATCAATAAATTCATTATTATTGACTGCTAAACGCCAGCGGTGGCTTATGTAGTTATTGTTTCTGAATTGTTGTTGCTATTTCTAGTGCGCTTTGTATGGTACTCGTAGTTGATTGTTGTAGTTGCATATAAAATTCACTTTCCTTTGCAATTATGTCTACGCACTTATGTACATATACTTGTATGTATGCATATATATATTTTTATAGTATATGTATATGTATGTATTGTATGTGTACACATATGGAAGTACTTATGTATGCAATTGCGTCGCGATCCTTCCGTGCGACAACTTAGGCATATGAAAGTGCTTCAGGTGGAGGCGTCCGCAAGTGACTTATTGCTCGTTGAGCTGCATGACACACGTACCACTCATTGCCGGTTCAAAGAAGTTACAAATTGCCTTATTGATTGAGTCATCGAAAGTAGCAACGGTCATAAGAGTATGTCATATAAATGCCGAATGGCAATAGTGGAAGCTAACAATAGTTAAATTGGCTCTTTAACCATTTTCGATTAATTAGTGAGTGGTGAATACAAAGGTGACTGATGTCAAAAGAAGCTAATTTTTCAGATTGACTAAAGAAATACGGTGCTTGAACCGGAACCGGAACCCGGAATAAGGAAAAGGAGCTGTTAGAAAGATTTTTGTCTGGATTTTGTTCGATCAGTTTGTATGGCAGCTATATTCTATAGTTGTCCGATCTTAACTATACATCC